AGTAGAGGCCTTCCCACATCCTCCAGCATGGTGGCTAGGGGGTGAGCCCCTGGGCAACTGCGGATAGAGAGTAGGTATGGGAGGGGATAGGACGGTGACATAACTTTAAGGGACATGCACATTTTCTTAAGTAATCCCATGACTCATCCTAAAGAAGTAAAATTTAGGGACAACTTTCAAGTATCAACTACTGACATCTATTCTGTGAATCAAGTTTGTCTTCAGATTTGCAATGGCACTACACTTGGCTCTAAAAGGCCAACGAAAATCTCAAGTATTCATATAGTCTATAGCCAGTCAAATTCCTCCGTTAAAATGCATTAACTTACCAGGTGATGAGCACAGAGGCATATAATTAAATTCTGCCTACTGCTATCTCTTCCTCCAGGCAAACACACAATTATACAGTTTGCTAAGCAGAAGTACAAAAGATCTCCCACTATTGAGATAATACTAAAAGTATCAATACTTCTCACTTTGGACCCCAGTAGAGATAACTAATGGATCAGTTTCAGATGGTGGGAGCACCAATAAGTGCCTATATTTTTCACCTTGACTGGTTGTTGCCTCTAATGTGCAAATGTGTAGAGACTGCTGCCATATGGCCATTGCATAGAAAAACAGTAAAATGTGTATGAGAAGACACAACAAAAACTGTAATGGAACAGATCCCTAGTTTAAACAAACTGGCAAATGCCAGATTTTAACCTTTATTTTATTTTGACTTCCAATTTTCACAACTAGAGTATTAGACTCGATGGCTTATAAACAATATTTATTGATCATGGATTGATTAATCAATTGATTGCAGGGCTGTTTGGAGTTCGGAGTCAAGGTGTCAGCATGGCTGGGCTCTAGTGCTGGTCCTCTATGCTACAGCCTGCTATTCTCTCCCACATGGTGGAAAGAGAGAAAACTTTCTATCCATTTATTAGGACATTAGTTTCATCCCCAAGGGCTCCTCCAACTTAGTCCAGTTACATCCTAAAAGCTCCGAACCTTCTGGTACCATCACACTTGAGTATGTGTGGTAGACATAGCTTATGGTGATCAGTCCTTTGTATCTATGGCTCTTTATTACTGATACTGCTTCTCTTGTGACTACACGGTGCTATAATATGACAATTTCCAAGAAAGGTTAAAAAATCAGATATTGGATCTGCACATTCATGTGGAGCTGCTGAATATATTCTGTGGAAAGCCTAATGTCATTAGAGTTACTGCTTATGTCAGTATGGTTAAAAATAGGATCAGTCCCCCAAAACAAGTTTAAGTATAAGAGAACCTGTTGAGTTCAGATGGGGTTCTAAAGAAGGGCTACCATGTACAACTCTCTGGACAAAATGTTTCACGAACCTATGCCTGTATATCCCTAGGGAAAGCATTGTGATTTGAGATCATCTGAACCTGAACAATGGAACTGGAAATTACTTCAGTGTCATTTCACTTCATGCCCATTTCAGAAAAGGCCATAGAGGATTCAATGTATTATGCTCATAAATATTTTCCTCAAACATCATAGTCCAAAATAACAGAGATTATTTTTTCTAACATGAATCATTTCTTGAATACAAAGGCACTAGGTCAAGGGCATGAAAAGAAGGAATTATCACTTAATCTTTGTTTCAAATCCCAGCTTTGAGGCATATTAGCTTCAAATTTTGGAATTTTATAAATTCTCTGAATCTTTGATTCCTCAATGGAAGATGGAGATAATGGGGAAAATGGGGATTGCTGCATCTAATAATATAACCTATCGACATGTGAGCTTCACATTTGAGTGTACCCAATGATTCCTGTTTGCCTTCCTTCTACTATCTTCTGTTTATCTTCAGCTATGATGGCAGAGTAGACAGATAAATGTCTGGGTATGCCTGAGCCACCATCCCTGGTGGAGTGTTCAATGCTGACTTTGTATCCTCTTGATGTTTCACAGCCTGATGAAGCAGCCCTCTTACAAATTACCTTATGGTAATGTGACAATCCCCTGCAAGTGTGGGAAGAGATGACTCCATTTAGTAATGAGGTTGAGAATAAAAGGTATCTTAAAGCATGTCACTACCAAGGTTCCTAGGGTTATGGTACACACACCTCTTGACCACATCAGCTTATTTTTTTTTATCATATCTTCTCAGAACACAACAACAACTCCCCTTTCTCAACATGTATGGCTCAATTTAATGTCTCTAAGCAATTATAGGCTTAGACTTCTAAAGTACAAAATGCATTTTATTTTTCATTTATTTTTCAGTCGCAAAGTCAGTAGATGCCTTATTGTGAAAATCAAACACTCAAGAATATTTTCATACTCAGTCACATGAAGTGGAACAGGGTAAATTCAGCTCTGCAAACTACCCAAGATATAAGAGCCAGAAGTATAGGTAAAAACATGAAGCTTCAATACCTCACGGAAAGAAGATTTTGTAAGAATTAGATTCTCAGCACCTCATAAGTATCTTTAGTCTTGGAGTTTATCAACCACAATATAATATGATATTCTTTCTTGTGTGTGGTGTGTGTGTGTGTGTGTGTGTGTGTGTGTGTGTGTGTGTGTGTGTGTGTGTGTGTGCAGGTACTGAGGCTTGAACTCAGGGTCTTACAACTTTACTCAGCTTTTTAAGCTGATGCTCTACCATCTGAGTGACATTTCCACTTCCAAATTTCTGCTGGTTACTTAGAGATAACAGTCTTTCAGATTTGAATGTCCAGGCTGACTTCACATCTTTGATTCTCGGATCTCAGCCTTCTGTGTAGTTAGGCTTATAGGTATGAGCCACTAAGTGTCCAGCAAGAAACTCTTATGATTAGGTCTCTCCTACAAGGAGTAGACATTCTTAACATCAATCATGCTAGATAAGGCTGTAGTTAAGATAGAATATGAGAGTTTGCATGGTAGACCTTACATAGGAAAGGGGGAAAAGAAGAAACACTACTTCCTGGGCCTTCGTCTAGACTGTGTATGTACAGAGGCTGTCCCATGCTAGTTGAGGAAACCTGGCTTCTACCTGCTACTGGATTTGCAGAGGACCTATCTCATGGAACAATATAATTTTATTTGAAAGAGATGGCATAAATATTATGAAATCTGAGGCCTTTGAAAGGCTTTCCATGTCCCGTGTCCTTTTCTTCTTTACAGTCCTAGCTTATTAGAAATCAAAAGGCAAAGTTAAATAAATTTATATTGTGAAAGCAATAAAAATTAAAAAAAACAGTGATCAAAAATATGAATGCAGACAGGGCTACAAATACATCACCCTGCTTAATTCTTTGTCCACAAGAACTCAAACTATTTTCATAGTGGGACAACCATGTACCTATTCCACAGTATATCTTCAATTTTTAAGAATTAATGTCACATAGATCAAAATCTCCCCTCCCCAACTCTTGCAAGTAACAGTGATAATATTTTTGGGAAGACTGATTTTTGGTCTCCAGTAGATGCATTTGAACCACAGGTCTAATTTTTCACTTCTATAAGGGAATTAATTACTCTGGTTTGTAGGCAGAAGAACACATGCAATACATGGAGGGGAGCTGATGTAGGGTGAATAATGACTAGTTGGTCACTCTTCTGTGTGTGATTTTAAACGTCTGCATTTTTACGGTTTTGTGTGTACGGTTCTGTAGGGAACAGAGTACCAATTTATGCTTTCCATTTTTGAATTTTAATCCTCTTGATTCTTAGCTGCCAAAAAGGAAGCACACTGAGGGGAAAGTCATTTGCCTAATGTCACTCAGCAGGCCACTGACTTGAAAGTAGGCCAGATGGACAGTTGCCAGTACTGGCCTCTGATGAATATTAAAAAAGCACAGGCCTTAGAACATTAGAGGGCCTCTCCCCTTAGCATATTTCTTTGTAGATTCAAAAAGCCTAGGAGGCCAGACAGGGTGAGATCAAATGCAGGTTTAAATGTGAAGATCATGAACAAGCAGAAGTCGATGAAGAATGCAGGAAAAACTAACCAAGTAAAAGAAATTTCCAGAAAAATTAGCCATGTAGTGACTGCTCAGGAGATGGAAGTAGCAGGATCAATCTGAGGCCTACTCTGACAAAAACAAGAGATCTTATCTGGAAAGCAATTGGAAGCAAAAGCATCACAAGCATGACTCGAGTAGTGGATGAAGAAAAGCCCTGCAATTCAATCTCCAGTTCTGAAATAATAGAAAATAACAATAAGTAAATAAATAAACCAGATGGACAAGTTCCCTGAATGTCTTTGACTACTCTGAAGTCCCCAAAAACCAAATTGTAATGGGTTACGTCAAAGGCAATTTGGGGGAAGGGAAAATTTATGAACTCTCAGAGCCCTTTCAAGTGTTTTCACTGGTAAACTAGAAAAAATAACAAGTATTACCTTCTGGGGCTGTTGTTATAATTAAGACAAATACCAGAAGTTCCGTGATGGAGGAAGGGTCAGGTTCCAGCGCATGACACATCATCAGCTTTCAACGACTCCCAAGTCTGTAGGCTGTAGCCTTCTCCTCCCTACCCCCATTCTTGAGGTCATTTGATTGCATGTGATTTTCTGCTCAGTGCCCAAAGGCTATAGCTATGAACTCAAATGTCTGCTAGACAATGGATTACTTGACAAACACCGACATTTGAAAAGCCTTCCGTATCATCCTCCTTTGAGGACAAGATTAATAAAGACTTGTCCCTGGGGTTGGAGCTGCTGTCACCAGGAAAAGTGGCTGGGGTGGAGAGTGGGGTGGGAGGGAGCGGAGCCCGCTCCCAGCTCCGTTCTTGCTAAAGTAACAGCTCCCTCCTAAGGTTGACAAAGCACTGACACATTGGTGCGTTCAAGATCCCGGCTGGGCAATTCGGGAGTTGTCTTCCGCTGGGAACCAAACGGCTCGGGACACGCACAGTGCCAGGTGCGCCAAAGCTCCAGTGTCTCCGGGAATACCTGGGCACCCCCTCATTTGCGCTCCCACAGCTTTCCCAACAAACCGGGGCGGGATGGGAGTGTCTTTTTGGCTGGGGAAATCGTTCCTCCTACCTTGTCCTGAAGCCACCTTCCTGCAGCCCAGCCTCCGCAGTGATTTTCCTGTCCCTGACGCCCAGCGAGGGCGCACGGCTGGTGTCCGCCCCGAGGGAAAGGTAGGGGCTGTGCCTCGCCGCCTCGCGGGGGGATGGTGAGCCCCGCAGTTCTTCTCTCTGCATTGCACCTCTCTGGGGGGCGGCCTCGGCTACCGCGGTGGTGGCGCCAGCTGTGGAGTAAGGAGGAGCTTCCTGGGGGGCCCCGCGCAGCCGCTGGGAATCGTGACCCCGGCCCGGCCGGGCGCGGCGCGGCCGCGCGCGGGTTGCCTGGCGTGTGGGACTCCCGGAGCCACTGCGCCCTCCTCCGCTCCCTCTGGCCGGAGCGAGAGGGAGAGAGAGGTCGAGAGAGATCGTGCCTGCGCCACCTTCCTCCGGTTTCCGCCAACCACCAGCTTTGGGGACCCGATGCGGCAAGCGCCGCCCGAGAGAAGGCAGTGGGCTGGAGCGAGCGGCGCGGGCGGGCGGAGCGCGCAGGGCCCCCGGCCGCCGAGCCCGGCTCGCCTCTGCGGCTGTCGCGCCTGGGCCTTGGCGGGTAACTCTCGGGCTGGCTTCGCTGAGGGTTTGTGTGCTGGGGTAAGGGAGGCTGGGGATACGGGGAGGCTGCGTTCCGGAACCAGGTCATGGAGGCCTTGGGTCTGTGGTGCCCAGACCCTCAGGCTCTGGAGCCTCGGAGGCTGCGGATTGCGGGGTAGGGGCGCGGGGCATGGGCTGCTTCTCCACGCGCGCGGTTAGAGTCAGGGGCTTGGCAGTCGGGGGAGGGTGCTGGGGACCCCTAAACCAGCCGGGGTTTGGGGGGGCGGGGTAGGGGTGGGGGTGGGGACGACAGCCCGGACACCACGCGGAGTTGCGCTCGGCTGGGGCGGCGGGAGCGGGAGGACCCGCGCGGACATCTGTTTGCTCGCATCGAGGGTAGGTTGTTTGGACCAGAAGCTCAGCTCAAAAATGTGCCCAGATCCTCACTTCCTATCGTATTGTAAGAAGGATCAGTCGGGTGGAATAACCAAGGGTTCTGGAAGATTCTCCTCTATTTTTTTTTTTTCTTTTAAACTGTAGAAAGTTTTTCGGGAAACCCTTCTTCCCGCCACAGTAGGACCAAACCTAACAAAACAAACGCAAAGGAAGTAGTTTGGGGTGAAGGGGGGCGGTGAGAAAATTGTAGTGTTTGGGTTGCTGTCAGTTTTCAAGATAAGAGAAGAAAATTGTAGTGTGAGGTTGGCTCCCCGAGTCCCAGCGACTTATTTTTAACTTAAGAAAAACAAAAAAGTAGAGAGATTTCCAGAAGCCCAAAGAAACCCAAATCACCTTCTTGAAGGCCCTTTAAGGTTAATGGGGAGGAAAGAAAGCAGAGGGTGGGAGAAATAGAAAAAGGGGACTCAGGGTGTGTGTGTTGGGGGGGGGGAAGCTGCTGTTCAAAGGTAATGTTTGAAAATGGTTTAGGAGGGGAAAGGAGAAGACAAGGGCTTCTAGCCTATCAAAGCCCACACAGGTTCTAAATTCACTGGCATCTTTGCTTTTAGAGGAACTGCTCGGGATGGAAGGGCAGCTGAAAGCATTTGTCCCCCCATAGCGCTCCCAGTGCAGCTGACCTTCAGAACAGGGCTTTCCCTCCCGGCCGGCCACCTCTGTTATGGTAGACTGAATATTTGGCTTTCTGTCTTCCAACTTCCTCTCCTTTTTATTTACATGGACATGTTCAGTGTTTGGAAAGATTTGGTCAGGATCTCATCAGATCAGCATTCCAGGTTACTTGATTAGACCCTAGTAAATTTGTAGTGTTTCTTTTTCACTTAGGATTGTTTTTCAAATCAAGATCTGAAAGGCGGGGGCGGGGGCGGGGGCGGGGGCGGGGGGGGGGGGAATCCACTTTACTAGATTGATTGTTGTCTTTGAATAAGACTGACTGTTTCAGACAGTAGATAATGGTCTCTAATAATCTCCATGCAAGGGAGCTGGAGATGTAAACATAAAGGGTGACTCTCACTTTCCATTGGTTAGAAAGTGTTTGTATTAGTCTGCTTTTTCTTTTTAAACTATCCTTAGCAGGAACTTGGTAGGGAAGAGACTATAGATCATTGAGAGAAGAGAGAATGAATGAAAAATGTCATTAAGAGACATAGCATGAAAATAAAATGTCCAATGAATAAAATGTCTCTTGAAATTGTAATTCTTAAGATTTACAGTTTCTGATTTCAGAACTCAGTGGTAGGGGACTGCATTTCACAGCCATTTTCTTCTACTGGAGATATTGCTGTGTGGTACTGCATGGGACAGATAATGAATAATTCTGTGTATCCTTCCTACATTTCCATGATAAGCATCGCCAGTTCACCATGCAGACTTCCAGATGGCTTCCATGGAAAGTATGATTCTACCCAGGGACCAGACATCTGGACCAGACATAATATCCATTCTGGATATGTTTTTTTGAGTAGGTGAGGGAAGCATTGGCATATATACTACATATATATTATATATATACACATACATACATACATACATATATATGTATGTGTGTATATATATATATACACACATACATACATATGTATATATATATGTGGCATCCACTGTTATCCCTTGTGTGTTTTCCTGTGATCCCTTCCCCCTTTACCCCCATTTGCCCCCCAGTTCTGGGGCTTGAATTCAGGGCCTGGGTGCTGTCCCTGAGCATTTTTGCTCAAGGCTAGCGTTCTACCACTTGAGCCACAGCTCCACTTCTGGCTTCTTGCTGGTTAATTGGAGGTAAGAGTCTCATAGAGTCTGGGCTGCCTTCTACACCATTTTTCTTCATTTTTTTAACAGCCATCTGAGACAGAATTTTTAGTTCGTTTCAAGTGAAAAAATTATGACTACTCCAGGATGAGTTACAATGTCTCAAACAAAAGACTGTTTTTATCCTTGCTTTATACTATCTCATAAAATTCTTTCATCCTTTGTACATAGTCTTTCCTTGGCTGTGCACACATACACTTGATTTACAGATACCGTGATCTGGGCATATTCTATTAACTCCTCAAGCTAGGCTTCTTGGACAGGAGCTTTCTTTCTGACAATCTTGGACTTTCATCATTTACCTTCTGTCTTTACATCTTCCATGTGTTACTTAGATTGCCTGTCTGGCCAATCCAGGAGTTTGGCCATCTCCAGTGAGTTGTATTCAAAGTCCTTTTCTTCCTGGAAATATTTTAAGTTCCTATAAACTCTTCAAATACCAGCTTATATCTTACCTCTCAGAAATCTTTTCAGAGCTATATTTCATCCTCTCATTTGTCTCTGTCAAACTATGGTGATAATAAATAGTTTATATTACAGTTCCCAGTGAACCCTTATGGATTAAAAATGCATTTATTGGATTTGGAGTGAGGTTGATGTATGGAATAGAATGTGCCTTGGGCTTTATATGGAGTCCATATAAGGCCACCCCCGATTCCCTCTCTTCTCCTTTCTTTGCTTTCCTGCTTGCATGCTTTTTTCCTGTTAAGACTGATACTCTACCAGCACTCTACCACTTAGCCACACCTTCACTTCCAGCTTTTTGCTGGTTAATTGGAGATAAGAGTCTCCTGGACTTTTCTTCCCAGGGTGAACCACAATCTTCAGATCTCAGTCTCCTGAGTATCTAGGATTATACGCATGTCCATTGCAGGGGACCACTTGGAGGCAAGCAGGCACAGGAGAAAGATTATTACAAGGTTTATTAGAGAAGCCATATTTCCCCCAAGAAGGAGCACATGGCACCTGTCCCTATCCAGGTAGCAGGAGGGTCTGGGGGTCAGAAGTGAAGTAGGTGGGTGCTCAGGTAGGTCTGGGTGGAGACAGAGGGTGGCCTAGGGTGGGAATTCCAGGCCAAGGAGGAGCTCTGGTGCGAGGGACCAGCTCGGCTGGAGCACTGGAACCTACGGGACAGGGATCTCGGGATAGGTGGGCGAGGAGTCAGTGAAGTGACAAACAGACACAGACTCCAAAGAGCTGCATCTGAGTGTATCTTTATTGAGAAGAATTAACATTTTTATACAGTGTGTGATTGTGACATAGATTCTTTGTTTATTTAAGCACATAATCAATTTTTAAAAAAGGCAAACAGTGATGAATTACATGAAAATTGATGACTGTCCCACCAACTGTTTAAGCTAAGTGGTGCAAAACAAGTCTAGCATATTGTTTAATAGAATGCTTCATCTATTCAGCCTTTTTATGTGTAATAATTAACAAACCTAAGACAGGGCTGTACTTATATTGTACTCTTTTTATTTTTATTTTTATCCAACTATTTTCATCTTTATAAGCTCCTGTATAAGGAAATGGCTCATCGGTTGGTTCAGGAAATACGATGTTACTAACTTTATATTTTGTGTGAAACCACCATCTATTCCCTATAACGTAAGTTGGACTAAACTTAATCATAACTGTTGGGACAGACTTTCTTTTTCTTTTATAATCAGAGGTCCCTTTTTTTTTTTTTTTTTTAAGAACTCTCTGAACAACTGGGATAACTTTCTAACTTAGTTTAATTCATTGATTTGGTCTGTTGGACATATCTGGAAAGATACAATATGCTCTGTTCGCGGATCAATAGAAAAATAGCCAAAACGAGAATAAAGGCAATGAATGTACAGCCAAGAAGAATATAGTAAGAATAAAGGTAGAGGCTATAAAGGTGCAACCAAGTGTATGGGAATTCTTGAACCAACATCCCCTTCCTGCAGGCATGCTTCCTTGAAGCTCTTTGTCTAAAGGAGATCTCTCATGCAGACTCCGCAGGAGGTGGTGTGGCACTCAGGTATGGGTGGAGCTGAGGACCAAAGGTGGGCATAATGCTAACAGAATTACCGGCACCTGGCTCCTTATAAGCTTTTAGAAATTCAGTCCCCTCATATTTAGTGGTAGCTGGAACTCTTTCCCTTGATAATGCCTAAGCACAAAATCAGCTGTAGTATCAGGATTTGGTCAGGAACTTGACTGCTGTATAATCTAGGGTTTAGGCTAAGAGGGATAGGATTCTGGGAAGTAAAGTAGTGAGAGTAAAAGAGAGTAAGGGGCAGT